CACATATACGGCCGAAATATTGTTAAATCCTGTGTTTTTCAGTTCTTTTTTTTAATTACTCTCTTTATTTTTAAAAAAAAAATCACTAAACAAGGCAACAAATTAGGTAAAATGCAGATGGGAGATACTGAGTGTGAAAGAATATAAAAGAAAACTATTATTAAAGTGCGAGAATAATAAAATAATAGAAATTAAGAAGATGAAGAGAACAATTAATATTGCATTTATTTTTTTTGAAATTCATACTTGACTGGAAAACTAGAAACTAGGAGAGAGTCCCACAAGCGAGACGTTCGAGAAAATTTTCTGTTGCGCTTAAATTTGTAAAGTATAGTTACCACAGAGGAAATATATTCAGAATCTACCAAGTTTTTCACCCTTAAACGAATGGGGGTAGTTCAGTCAGTCAGTTATGTGCGATGCGTGTTACACGCTTCGGCGATCATGTATCTTTCGATACATGACTGACGAGGCAGATTTTTTTTCCGCAGTAGATTGCCATCTCTTTCTGCGGTAGACCAGTTGCCATCCAAGGCTATAGAACTCAGTTTGTCCCGTTGGCGGGAAGAAGATTCTTAAGTGAATGTAATGGATTCGACTGGAATTCGAACTCTGCTCTCCGGTTCCTCAATCTGAGCCGCTATCCATTATTCCACCGCTATCCATTATTTCACTACCCTTATCCGACTGGGATGAGGGTATTTACGTATGCAAATTACTAACTTCCAACCCCGGGGAAATAAAGAGAATGACTAAGAGAGTTCCATAAGATTTATACTAAGCTTTTTGATCGATTTCTCTTAGTAACTAATTAACTAAAGGAAAATTCCAAGATGAACAAGATCACTATCATATTAAACGCGTTTCAGTCATATGCCTTTACGCTGGCGCCTTTTCATTTGTTTTGACGCGTTCGTTAACAGGACAGCCATTTTTTTCATTACAAGACAAACAACATTTGTACAAAGACTTATATATATATATATATATATATATATATATATATATATATATATATATATATATATATATAGGTTGGTGCAAAAATAATGATAATAATGTCGTTTTTGACGTATTTTTTAACGTCAAAAAACGACCTTATTACGTCATTATTTTGCACCAACCTAATATATATAAAAATTTGAAGCGGTCTCCTCGGCGTGGTGTAATGGTAGCAATCTTGTCTCACTAAAGCAGTTACAATTGGAGAGTGAGCTCGATCCTCACTGGGTGAGCCTATGCTTTGGGCCTTGTGTCTCATCTAAACTACGCTTAGAAAATCTGTATATATAATGTAAAGAAGATGCTCTTTTGAAATATTAACATTGTCAAACACTGTTTTTTTTTCTTCTTAAATCGTGCTCATCTCTTAACTGACCGCTGTAATAATAATAATAATAATAATAATAATAATAATAACAATAACCATAATAATAACATTAATAATAATATCAATCAGAATATCTGTTTAAAATTTTTCGACTCAGGCAATTGACCTTTCAAAAATTCTTGGTATTTGCTCATTTGATTTATCAGATTTTGGTAAGCTAAACATGGTGAGAACACTTCAATTCAAACCCTGTTGATATTTTCAGCACCCCTGGTAAAATATTCAGTTCCAAAGAGCAGATTCTTTCCGTAACACTTCTTATAGCTAATCGCTGCGCGATCTCAGAAAATAATTTTGTTGCCAAATATACCTTTGCCGAAAGAATATTAATCACAAGGGAATATTTTCATTTGACGTCTGGGCCACTACTGTAGGGGAAGATAACATTCAGAAAGGCAAAATCACATACATTATGCATTTTGGTTTTTAGTCTATCTTCCAACCTGATTGCAACTGACAGTTCATACAACACTCTCCATATATACATAAGTTTATCAATTAAAACTTATTTATATGACATAGAATATTTAACATGACATTCATCTACAGACTTACATGTTCATCTCCATAGATATGTCCATAGGTATTTAATAGGGAACCTCAGCCGATGATAATAGCTCGTGTGATTATTACGCAGAATATCTCTACTGCATACTAAGTTTCATTCTCCCAGAGTGTTCAGTTATTGTAACCCTTTGGCAAATATAAGCTTAGCAATATGTATCTTTTATTTTCTTATTTAGGAAGCATGGCATTCACTCGTTCGCCGAACCGCCGATGGCTAACAACATCTGACTTCGTTGCGAACTAAGCAGCTACAAAACTATCCTCAACAACGGGATGTAAAGTGACTCACAGTGCTCATTAGGAGAGAAGTCAATTCTTCCTTTACAAAGATAGATAATCGCCTTCCATGGCTTTACATGGGTCTCATTCAGAACTTTTTTTTTTAGTTTTTTTATCTTAGAAAGATAATAACCGTTGATATCATTATTTTTAATTCTTGTTACAGTGTGATTGATTTAGGGGACACATAATCTGACCAAATATTCCTATATAATGCTGAGAACTTCCAAGAAAATTAGTGTAGAATTATTAAAGAGTTAACAACGAAGATGACAACCCAATGTTTATACTCTTAATGTTACAGTTGGCTGATGTGTTAGGCTAGGAGGTCTGTCTGAATACTAAAGTATTTTGAATATTACGATAACCGGGTGTTCAACATTCAGGTACTATTAAAACTAATCAGGACCATACTCTGTGGACATAAACATAAAATCTCCATGCAACAATACAGTCGGTAGCAAGACACCAATAAATGATCTTGTGTACTGCGCAACCATTGCTTTTACAATCACAGAACGAGTACATTGTTTACGCCTCTTGCAAGATTTTTGGCAAAATCTCATATCCCATAGGACGGTTAGCTACGGTTTGCTACCGCATTTACAGTCTTTAGTTGGCTTTCTGATATTTATTTTTCTCCAAGGGTAAAATCGCTGTAAAAGTGACGCGAACATCACAACTAATGGTAGACCCGAAGATTTAAAAATCAGAAGAGACGCAGGTATATGAGTGTGAAGTTCAATTGGAAGATAATTAAGTCACCATTGCTATTTATCGAGAAGTTAAATGAATGGAGATTTTATACAAATCCATATAATAAAGTATTTGTTTGTATTTGTTTTGTATATATTTTTTTGTTTATTCAAGCCACACCAAGCAAGGCAATAACGCCACTAAAACACATGGAACTAATGCAAGTGAAAGCGAATGAGAAGACATTACCGGAAACCCAATCCTAAACAGGAAATGTGTTAAGCTCTATTCTTTTTCAAAAAAATCGTTGAAACCAGATGATAAGCGAGTCTCAATGTTTATATATTTGCTTAAAGCATACAAAACTATTAATTTTACTCTCATTTCCAACATCTCTCTCTGATGTCATAATGGTTTTAGGCTTCATATGTTATTCTAAAACTCATTGTTTTGATGTAATTATTTACCTTATCGATTTACTGCTGAATAGAAAATATTAATCGTTGACTTGTTAATAAGGCTCGAGGCAAAATTTATGTAGCATTGAATTTGTAAATGAATCAATGAATTTATAATTTAATTAGGAAAATGAGAGAGGTTTTATTTTCCTCGACAATTTTTAGTTCATCCCAATCTACTTACTCATCTTTCCATAGTCGACGTAGTTCTGAAGCTACTAAGTGAAATTTCAAAGTCAATGTTCAGTCAATAAACACCTGAGCATCTGAGTACATATTGTTGAACTCTCGTAGTTTTTTGCGTCTTTTCTAAAACTTATAATGAATCTTTCTTTATTATGGTTCACTTTTTATATTGTCTTATGTGCTGATTTTCTTTAGTTCTTCATTTTTTTAGTAATAACCATTCCGACAACATTATAGTCTGCAACAACAAACCATAACAGGGTAAATGTTGACTCTGTAAAGATTTCTCTTCCAACTGGGGACTATATAGACGAAGTTACAGTAGAATCCCTGACAATCGGACTATGAAGGCCTTCCGGATATTATGAATTGGTTACAAAATCCTGATATGAGAGGGTTATATTTAGATTAAAATAAAAGAACTGAAATCAGGTTTAACATTTATTTTCAATGTTTTCTAGTAAACAAAATAAGCTAATGGCGAGTGAAAAATTCATTAAATTAAGTATGCCACGTATGCAAAACAAATAATATAATGAGGATTTTTTAATCGCTGTTGCATGATGATTCTTTCTCTTCTAATATCATCCTCAACTTTTTCCGCGTTTCGTTTTGCTTTTGTTCTTGAAGTTTTAAACGAAAGACACTTTTTAACTCTGCGTGCGTTATTGCAATTGTCATAGCTGAATGCTGGTTTTCTTTCGATAAAACTGACATTCGTTGCAGATGTGTCTCGTTTTCAACCTTTCTACTTATTCCCATCATCTTTTACACCAGTACAAGTCATTATGGTGAAATAAGCATAAGCAATTATCCAAAGTAAATTTCCTGAAAAACAGAAATTTCAAATCAGTTACATATCACCCAAATAGTTCAAATATACACATCAAAATCATGTTCGGATATGCAGAATTCCGGATATGAGGTAATCCTGATATGAGAGATTCCAGATATAAGGGATTCCATATATGAGGGATTCTATTGGATGTAATTTATATGGGTTAATACATAAATAATGTTTACTACTTCGTGACGTCGCTAATAGTAGAGACACATCTATGTTTAAACATGTTTTCAGTTGTCTACAAAGTTCTGTTACTACTCAGCATCAATTCGATTTGTGACAGCATTGAGCAATACGATCCGTTTGACACGAGTACTACGCCCGTGTTACTAACAGAGCAGCGATCAAAGATAGAATTGTTGACAAGTGGAATTCGCAAGTCAGCCAAAATTTATGGACTGATGAAATGAAAGCTTGTGAAATATCAAGGCGCACATCTCCAGAATAAGGTCTGAAAGGACAATTTGCCGGTATCACACCTGCAGTCGACAATGGCGCAAACAGTGAGAAGTCTAAAATCATTTTAAACTGCCCTGAAGGTAGTATAGATTATTGGTTGTTCTTGAGTCTTAAAGAGGCGATGAAATATTTATTCATTTCATTCGACACCAATGCTGAAGGTTTTATGTGTGTTAGAATTAAAATAAACCAGAAACATTAACTTTAAACGAAATGAAAAATAGGTAGAAAGTTTTAGCCCTGATCGGCGGATATATCGACTAACGATTTGTAAATGGACGTGTACATTTGAAAGGAATAGATTCACTATCCTCATAATTTCAAGATGTCATTAGTTCTCTATCAGTATTACTCTATGGCAGTGGATGCTAGACAATCTCATCACAGATGAAGAAGAGACTTGAAGCAAGATGTGGTTCTACTGGTGGATGCTGAGTGCACAATGGACTGAAAATGTGAACACCGAGGAACTTATATAGAAAAGGGAAACAAAAAGGACACATATATAACAACAGAAAAAAAAGGAGAGTTGAAATTATTAGTGCATATGATGAGGAAAGAAGATTTGGAAAATTTAATGCGCATAGATCATGTTGAAGGCAAGATGTACAGAAGAAAAGATCGCATAACTTACCCAATAAGCTTTTGCAAATGGTTGGTAAAACAGGGTTTAGGAGAGGGAGCTAAAAGATAAAATTTATTAAAAGCTAGAAAAGACAGCATATTGTGGAGAGTCCTGATCGACGAAGTTCTGAAGGGACATGGCACATACTGGTAGTAGTAGTTAATGGGTTTGTTAATGATTTCAACTTTGTCATTGGCAGTCAAGAAATATAATGAAAACCAGAGTGTTACTATGAATATTTATACTGCGTAACTGGGTGACGACGCCATTATTCTTGAGCAAATCGTATGATCTTTCATAACCAGAAGGTAACCATATTTGTTTTTCTTATTTGCTTATCAAATTTGGAAAAAAAAGTATATTTTTCCCTTTTTCGGCCATTATAATATACATTTTACAGCTTATCCGCGTCCTGGGTATGAAGATAAACGGCATCCGCGTCCTGGGTATGAAGATAAACGGCATCCGTGTCCTGGGCATGACGATAAACTACAGCCGTCAGCAAGACCTCTGATCTGGAGATTTTGAGGTGCTTGGAGCCATCTTTTAATTGCTGATGTTCTACCCCGACCCGGGTTGGTAGCACCTATTAGGGCCCGAGCTATGGGGAAATAGTTAATCCTCAAACTGTGGATATAAAAGTGTAATAATAGGTTTTAGTACCAGCAATACATTTTTGGGAAAAACATATTATCAGCAATACATTATTACCAGCAATAAATTGTCGGAAAAAATATTACCAACAATTCATTTTTGGGAAAAAGAATATTACCAACGACACATTTTTTTTTTTTTTAAAATGTAAGCATCAATACATTTTTATTAAAAAGAAATTGACAGTAAAAACTATATCGTAGGCATTAAATAACCGATTGATGTTGATACGCCGTAAAACAAAACAAATAAACAAAGTTTATGCTTTTAAAAAATGTTTTCATTTTATATGTCACAATTTCTTATTTATATCCGGCATAATATCCTCACCTTCATTGTTACTATGACAACATTTCGGCCGCTGATCTCTTCTGCAATGGCTGGCATTCCGGGTAACCTGAAGAGAATTTCGAATTGTATCATCTATTTAATGTAATCTTTTATTTAACATTTTAAGTTATTTCTCCTCCAGTTTCTACTGAGTCTCAGACTATACTAACCGATCAAAGATTGGACACACCATTAGTAAACCACCATTTTTAAGAAACAACGCTTTCTTTCTCTATGCTGTTGTCCCGTGGGATACCCTGATGCAGCATTGCTGTTTAATATAACTCCCTCCACCCCTCTTTCTCTTTCGACAGACATCTGAAAGGAGTCACGGGGAACAACAGTCTTAATGTTTTGATGAAAAAAACAAAGATGAAGACATTAGTCCGACTGCATTTAATGTAAATGGTAAAAAAACACCCCATTCTATACATTTTGCAAGAATTTTTTTTTGTTTTTCATTTGTAAAAATCGTTTATTCATAACGAATATTTCATTGTCGGTTTTATTTGTCCGTTTTTTTTTCTTGTTCCCTCTTCATTCTCACTTTATTAGTTGTCAAACCATTTAACAAGCTGTACTTTGCCATAATTTATTTTCATTTATATCTATTCATCTGCTTTTATTTTTTACTGCTGCTGTTGTTGTTGGCGGCTGGGAACGAGAAATTGTTGAAACGTGTTCGAATTCTAGTTGAGTTTGTGACATTCAACTTCGGAAAAATACACTGGGAAAGGTATAAATATATATCATCTCCCGTTCCTAGTTATGGGTTAATTAGCATGGTGAACTGGTCTATTTAGCTATGGCTGACTACTCGTCCAGGCGAAAAAAACAAAACAATTCAACAGTATTCAAAACGAGAGGAAGACAATTTAGGAACATCGCGGCACATTCTGTACCAGTTCTCTGTTTTTATTTCTACAAGAAATTGTGAATGCTTACGCATAAGCATTTCATACTATAATGAAACCATACGTTTTGGTAGATTCGGTTCTAAGTACTGAATTGTTAGATCTTTATACATCATATCTATTGTCGCTTCAATCTCGGTCTTCAAGCTGGGACCAAAATATAGTATCTGTTCTTTTCTTTAAAAATTATGAGGGATGACTAGTTCCATTCCTACCGCAACGCCTTCTTCATTAAACTAAGTAATGGGAGGGGCTCAGTGGATACCTAGTGCATCGTGGATGCCGGAATTGGGCAATTTTTTGCTTTCTCACATATGTACACTTATCGGCACCGTATATTGTAAACGACACCCTGCCACATTCCGTCAATGTGGGGATGCGAGTAAATAACAACCTTCACACACAATAATCAAACAGAGAATTCAGACATTATTATTATTATTATTATTATTATTATTATTATTGTGATCACCCTTTTCTTTTTCCTACTTGTTTTTATTTCTCTTTGTTAATAATTGTAAAAATAATATAGTAAAAAAAAATCAAAACAAATGACTAATAAGCAGAATATGAAGAGGCTCGCAAGAGCCTCTTCATATTCTGCTTATTAGTCATTTGTTTTGATTTTTTTTTACTATATTATTTTTACTTTCCTGAAAACATTCTTCTGTTCCAAGTTTCTCTTTTTTTTCCTTTCATTATTTTTTTTAATTCTAGTCCTGGGTATGACGATAAACCTACATTCGGCAGTAAGTCTTCTGATCGGGCGACTGGTGATTTTGAGCAATTGCTTTTGTTCCCTGGTCCACCCTGAACAGGAGTGCTAGCATCTGTTAGAATCCCAGCTATGGCCAAATTTTGAACCCCCAACCAATAATAAACATCATGAAAATACAAAAATACATATTTATAGTAAAAATACCAGTAATGCATATTTGTTGTAAAAATACCAACTATACCTCTATTTATAGAGGAATTACCAACAAAACATATTTATAGTAAAATTACCTACAATAAAATATTATTGCAAAATGACCAGAAATACATTTTATAGTAGAATTGCCACTATTGTATTATAGAGCAAAATGACCATTATATTGTATAGCAAAACGCCAAACAATACATTTTATATGTAGTTGATACTATGCAACTGCATTCAAAATATATTTAATTAAAGCCATAAGATTGTGTTCAAAATATTTCCATTAAATTTCGATATTAAATGACCATGTAGAGTTGACATGTCATTAAACAACCAAATCATTCATATTTTTTATTCTTTCCCTTTTTATTCAAATCAGCCAAATATTGAAATAATTTGTGTAAGTTTCTTACTTTCCTCTTTCTTCATTTCTTTCGTTTAGTCTTTCTTTCTTTCTTTCTTTTCTTTCTTTCTTTCTTTTTTTCTTTATTTGTTCCTTTCTTTCTTTCTTTCTTTCTTTCTTTCTTTCTTCCTGCCTTTCTTTCTCAGTTCAAATCTATCTCAATCTCACAATTTCAGTTTTCAGTCACATCAATTCTTTTTTTTTTCTCCATCTATATATTTCTATCCAAGCTTCACCATTTCTTTATTTCGTCTCGTCTTTCTATTCTCTAAATTTTGTTCTTTTCTTTTTCCTTTTACTTATAAATTATACTTTTTTTGTCCCCAAATTAATAATTTCTCCATCAATGTTATTCTACATTTCCTATCGTTACTATTCCTCATTCTTTTTTTCTGTCTCTCCTTTTTCTCCCTTTCTTGTTTTTTCTCCTTCTCTTTCGAAGCCGTTCTTTAATTTTGGCACGTTATTTACAGCCATAGATATTAACAAATGTGATGGCAACGATGTCTTTGAATGAAGGGTCAAGATTAAAGAATGTCACAGAACATCTCATCTCCAGCAACGAAGTATAAAGGAATTGATCTACATATGCTCTTAAGACAGATCGATGAATCTCATAAAACCTCGAAGATGTATGTCAGCTGATATTGAGCATTTTCTCTGAAGTCAAATGTTCATTCTTCTTGTCTTTTTATTTGGTTTCCTATTTAATCTGAAGTACTTGAGTTTTAATGAATTACTTCTTTGCTTCTTTTAATCTTATTAAAGACTTTCTTTATTATTCAATATGTTCACTGTTCACAGCGCCGTTGTCATTTTCTTCTTTTTCTATTCTTGTGCTTATCCCTTTAACTTTCATACTAATTTATTTGATTCTTTTCATTCTCGCCACATGTTTATATTAATTTTATTCCAGTATAATACTTAGTCTTTTTGACACTAACAGAAAAGTAAATTACAATATCCTGAAGAACGATGTTGATTATGACCTGGGTACATTATGTGTACGATAGCAGATATCCAGGACCGGATTATCCTTTGGTTAGTATAGGCTGAAGTCTAAGCCCCCTGCCCTGCCACAATGATTTTACAAAGCAATGATTTTAATTTTGTAGATGTTATAACTTCTAAATATTTTCATAAACTGAACTGATATCATTATGACAAACTTATATTTATTTGATTTTACAGGAAGCAAAGAAAGGAAAGAATGTTTTCGTTTGTGCGATTGTGTTTCAAGTAGATAATTTGTGTGATTTCAATTCAGAATATTTAAAGCTTAAACATTTGTATAAATCATTGATTTTATTTTTCTAGATGTTATAATTTCTAAATAGTTTCATAAACTGAAATGATATCAATATGTAAAACATATTTTAATACTTATAATGCTTGTTATAAAAAAACTGTTTTTTTTTACTATGATTGCTAATTTGATTTGTTAATTTGGATTGCAATAACTAGCAAGATTGTGGTATTTCATAAAGCCATTTTTTATTAACAAAAACGATAGCTTTTAAAGAATTTGCAATAAGATTACTTCAAGCTATGTGAAGCTCGCTAAAATATATCACGATTAAAACATGCAAGACGGGTGAGGGCGAGTTAGAGGGACGCTCCGTCTAAGGGAAAGGGCATAATTAACCCCCAAAGTCCATAATCCGGGCCGAGACATATCAGATATTCATTTTTTGATTTTTTCTGTTCTTATTTTGGTATTATTCTACCAACACATTTTTCCTTTCTTCTCGTCGTTTCAATCTTTGTATTACATTTTTCCCTCACCTTCTTCTCTTTCTGTTTTTCTTCGTTCCATCTCACATGCCGTTTCTTCTTCTTCTTCTTCTTCTTCTTCTTCTTCTTCTTCTTCTTCTTCTTCTTCATCTTCTTCTTCTTCTTCTTCTTCTTCTTCTGTATTCTCTTTAAGTTTTGTCTTTTCTTCATTTTCTTGGCTTTAAACTTCTTCCTTTTTCTCTTCTAAAAAATTCTTATTTACTTTGCCAATCTTTCTTTTCTGCGAAACCTGAAGTTTTTTTTTTAAACTTAGCCATTCTTTCAATCTACTATTATCTTTCCGCTCTCATTTCTCTTTCTCGGACTTGAGAAATTCTATCTTTTTGCTAAATTCATTAAGTTCATCTCATTACATTGTAACTCTCTAGTCTGTCGTAACATAAAGTTTCGACTTTTACTTCCTCTTCAATATTTTCTTTCTTATCGAGTGATTTCTTTTTCAAGAACTTTCTTACCCATTAGTTTCTTTAATTATGCAAACTTACACTTCATTATTTTTATTTTCTATTTTTCTTTCTAATAGATTTACTCAGCCATTTTTTTACTCTTCTTTTTTTTCTCAACTTTTGTCTTTACATATTTCCTTACAATATTCTATTCTTGGAAAATTTTCTTTTTCTTTCTTTCATTTTACATTCTTCGATTATAATTGTCTCCCTCTTCTTCTGTATTCTTTTTTGCTGATGTGATATCTTCTTCTTCTTTATTCCTTTCCCTCCTCATCCCTGATGTTCTTCTGTCTGCTCTCCTCATAACTAGTTTTTTTTTTCTTTTTTCCGTCATCTTCTTTAGTAATCTTCTTTCTTGATATGTTCTGTCTTCTTTCATAATTCTTCCTAATATGTTCTGTATTCTTTTATTATGCCTACTTCTACTATTTCTTTATACTTCTTTTTCTTCTTCTTTCTTCTTCGTCTTTCCTGATGTGTTCTATATTTTTCATCATGCCTTCTTCTTCATTCCTTGTGCGTTCTGTTTTCTTTTATCATGCCTACTTCTTTTTCTTCGTCTTCTTTTTTCGTGATGTGTTCTGTCTTCTTTTATTATGTCTACTTCTTCTTGTTCTTTATTCGATTTCTTTTTCTTCTTTCCGGGTGTGTTCTGTATTCTTTTATCATGCCTACTTCATTTTTCTTCTTCTTCTTCTTCTTCTTCTTCTTCTTCTTCTTCTTCTTCTTCTTCTTTCCTGGAGTATTCTCTTTTCTTTTATCATGTCTACTTTATCTTTTTCATCTTCTTCTTTCATATATGTTCTGTATTCTTTTATTATGCTTAATTCTTCTACTGTTTCAATTTTTTTTTTCATTCTTTCCTTCTTTTTTTCTTTCTTTCGTTTTTTCTTTCTTCTTCTTCTTTTTCCTGGTGTAATCTATATTCTTTCATCATGCCTACTTCTTCTTTTCCTTCTTACTTTATGTGTTCTATTTTCTTTTATCATGCTTCTTCCTCCTCCTCCTTCTTTTTCTTCTTCATCACCATCTTTTATATTTCTCTTTTTCTTCTGATATTTAATTCAATTTATATTTATAATTTATTCTCTTTTAGTCACCGCTCTGATTCCTTCTTTTTTTCCATTTGTTTTGAAATCATCTTCCTTTCTTTTTTCGTTAATCCTTTTCCTCTCAATATTTTCTCTTTCTCACAAATACTTCTTTATATAAACGACAAAAGCAACCATGATATTTCCTTTATCTTCTTCACTGCAACTAATTCCTCTAATTTTAAGTCCGAAATGAATTGACTCACCTTTCAGTCTAATGCTGGGGGCTAGAAGAAAATTCTAGGAAAAATTCCAGATCTAGATTGCGGACTTCCTAAATGACGCTCGCTGCTCGCCCGGCTCATTAGAATTCGGCTGACGGCGAAACGCCCGTTTTGGTTGACGTGTCCTGATGCCGAACAGTCTGACAATGTTCAGGACGGCTAATCAGGCTCACCAGCGGCCATGAATCAAGTCAAACGTTTGTGAATGCCACTCAGATGCCTTCTGGTCTCGGAGGTCCCATTCAAATGCGACGCACAATCCACTTCGCCGCCAGACGCAGCAGAGTCCAAGCTAGGCGCGCGCGAAAAGCTTTAATGTTTCAGTTGACGTGTCCGACTTAAGGCAGTCTTTCTCTGAAATCCCATCTATCTATCTATCTATCTATCTATCTATCTATCTATCTATCTATCTATCTATCTATCTATGTTTCAGTCAATTAATTTTTCTTTCTTGAGTACCAACCAAATATTTTTTTAAACATCTTCGTTATCAGAAGCAAAGTTACTTTCATTATCTGAATTAATTTAATTGTATATTACTTTCCAAATCCAATTTCAGTCTAGTTTTCTATACTTCTTTTTGTTTTTCTGTTTGTCTGTCTGTATGTCTTCCTTTGATTTTTCTCTTAAACGCTTAATCTTCTTTCTTTCTTTCTTTCTTTCTTTCTTTCTTTCTTTCTTTTCTGTATATTGCCTTTTACTCGACGGTTTCGCTTCTTTCTTTCTCTCTTTTCTATTTATTGTCATTTATTCATTTCTTTCGTTTTTCGTTTCTTTCTTTATTTCATTCTGTTTATTGTACTCGTTCATAATTTTCTTTCTTTCTTTTCAAATTTTAGCGCTGATAGCCAAAGAAATGTAATAAAATTTGTAATACAGTGTAACCCGGATATAAGAGACCCGGATATAAGAGAAACCCGGATATAAGAGAGATTTTCTCCGGTCCCAAATTAGAGCCTGTGTTAATGTAAACAAAATAGATCAAATCCGGATATAAGAGAAACCCGGATATAAGAGAAACCCGGATATAAGAGACTTCGTCTCCGGTCCCGACAACTCTCTTATATCCGGGTTACATTTTCAAGTATTTTTTTTTATTGTATGAAGAATTGTAACTATTTCTTCTTTCCATATTATTTGCATTTCTTTATTTCTGTCTTAGTTTGAAAAGCAAACATTCGATATTCGTTTATTGAATTAAGATTTCCTTTTTCTTTTCGGAACTAGTCATTTCACTTATTTTTCATTTACAAAACCATATTTCTTTTATCGTTACAGTGTAACCCGGATAAAAGAGACCCGGATATAAGAGAAACCCGGATATAAGAGAGATTTTCTCTGGTCCCAAATTAGAGCCTGTGTTAATATAAACAAAATAGATCAAACCCGGATATAAGAGAAACCCGGATATAAGAGACTTCTCCGGTCCCGACAACTCTCTTATATCCGGGTTACACTGTATTATTCTGTATTCTATTGTGTGATCATTTCTATGGTCTATTCTCGTTTCTTTCTTGTTTTCGCCGTCTCATTCATTTTCGTTTATTCATTTCATTTTTCTTTATCATTTAATAAATAAAAGTATTTTTCTTATCAACTCTCAAGTTCATATGATTTTTAGAATTATTTATAAACTTTTTCTGTCAGTCTCTGTATTATGTTTTATCTATCTATCTATCTATCTATCTATCTATCTATCTATCTATCTATCTATATAACTTCATATTTATCTCAGTGTATTATTTATCTTTATATAAATATCAAGGTCATTTTGGATATATCTCTCTTTCTCTTTCTCTCTTCTCTCACTTTCTCTCTCTCCATATTTAATTCAGGTGATAGATAAGTCCGTAAGTCTGTTTCTTTCTTTCTTTTTTTTTATCTATCTATCTATCTATCTCTATCTATCTATCTATCTATCTATCTATGTGTGTGTGTATATATTATCTGTGTGTATATATATATACGGAATATATATATATATATATAGTGCTCAATATATATATAATTATTTATAAAAAATTATAAAAATAATTATATATATATATATATATATATATATATATATATATATATACATGCATACATACATGATGCGATGGATAAATTGTCATCTAAATTATGGAAAAATGAAAATATCATTGATAAAAGTATTTTTCTTATCAACTCTCAAGTTCATATGATTTTTAAAATTATTTATAAACTTTTTCTGTCAGTCTCTGTATTATGTTTTATCTATCTATCTATCTATATAACTTCATATTTATCTCGGTGTATTATTTATCTTTATATAAATATCAAGGTCATTTTGGATATATCTCTCTTTCTCTTTCTCTTTCTCTCTTCTCTCACTTTCTCTCTCTCTCTCTCTCTCTCTCTCTGTTCATATTTAATTCAGCTGATAGATAAGTCCGTAAGTCTGTTTCTTTCTTTCTTTTTTTCTTTCTATCTATCTATCTATCTATCTATCTATCTATCTATCTATCTATCTATCTATATATATATATATATATATATATATATATATATATATATATATATATATATATACACATGCATACATACATGATGCGATGGATAAATTGTCATCTAAATTATGGAAAAATGAAAATATCATTGACATCTCATTTTAAAAGATATATTTAATAAAATTTAATAAAATCGCCACTGGCTTCAACCACGGCCTCCAGACGATTTCGATATCTCCTGCCACTCTTCTGGATTGTTTCCTTATTTCAGTTGGTGAATGCTGCCATAATTCTTGCCTTCAGTTCATTTTTGGTGTTACAAGCTGTTTTGTTGGTCTCTCGCTCAACTGTGACCCATACATAATAATGAAGGGTGTTGCAGTCTGCGGAGTTAGGTGGCTAGATGTAAAGAGTGATATGTTGTAGAAATTGTCTGACAGCCATGACTTGGTTCTCCTGCATTTGTAGCATGGTGCAGAGTCCTGTTGTCAGATATATGGTCTCCCAATTGCTACTCTCTTGACCAGAGCAGCACTACCTGCTTAAAGCACTTCATGGAGGCCACTAAGTACCAGTAAGAATATGAATGGAGACATAACATCGCTGTCGCTAGAGATCACTCCAAATTTCGTAATCACCATTAGATTCCTCCATCACTTTCTGAATCCTATGCCCTCTCCTTAGATTGAAATTCAAACTCCCTGAAATGGTCGTATAGGAGCTTCTGGCGCGAATGCCAATATGTCATATCAAAATTTGTGGAGGAGTGAATTTCGTCATTGTTGTCTTTTTTGCATGACGTTGCCCAACTGACCCTACTATACCGTGCAGCCGAACAATCCAAAATATGCAACGCACATGTGCGAAATTAAAAATACAAAATACCGACAATTTACCCATCGCACCTTTTATATATACATATATATATGTGTCTCATCATTATACTAGATCTTTA